TTTTTCCTTATATATTTAATAATTTTCTTCTCTTGTCATTATTTTTTATGATTTTCCATATATTTATATATTACTGCAGTAAGAACGCACTATAAAAAAATACTCTCTATTTACGCTTTTTACCTCAATTTGCACTTCCCCTGTTTTCCTATTTTGTAATCTGGCAATCTTATTACGAAAATATTTTAAATCATTCTTGAAAATTTTCCCGTTCATGTAAGTTCAGTTGAATTTGCTACTCGCTTTATAGATTTCTTTAAAGGTCAGATAGAGAAATGACCATGCTCTAAAGTTCTTATCAAGGTCTTTGAACTCTATTTATTTTTAAAATTTCAGTTTTAATTTGTTATCACTGATAAATGTAATGGGTATAAAACTCAAATGTTAAAGGGGTTTGCAATAGGCACCGAATATACTAATACAGGTATGCTAATATATCGGAAATTCAGGTTTTCAAAATGATAGCTCTTACTACCACACATTCAGAAAACAATTCATAGGTGAAAAGTAAATTAAACCGAATAAAGGGTTTTTATGTCATGCTCTAAGGTATCATAAAAAAATTACAAAATTTTTAATTTATAAAATTTTGCAAAACCATATAACCATGTTAAATGCTATAATTTTTTGCTAACTTTACCAAAATCATAACCAAAGTGCTTCGGTATTTCCGTAGTGCTAAGACACGGTAAATTTTACCATATTCTGGTAATTTTGACCATACTTTTTTTCCAGTTTATAGAGTATTATATTGATGTTATTAAAAATCTATCAATACCTTTAGCTGATAAAAATTATCATTAGTTGATGAAAAGCAGATCTATTATTTTTTTAATCCGAAATCCTCCAACGATTGAGTAAGTCATTTATACCCATGAGACTTTTTGGTTGAAAGAAATACTTTTAAAAAACTAGCAGTGTTTTAATGTTCAAAGAAAAATGATACTTACAGTCCCTGGCTAAATTATTAGACGCACTATATAACATTCTATGTGAAATCTTAATTATCAGTATATACTATACAGGTTTATTGTTTTTACGCGGTTTGCACTAGTTTACGTTCGTGTAATAATTCGTTAAATTAGGCAATATATAATATAAATTAGACGATATATTATATAAATATAGAATATTTACTGTATAATTTAATATATTATTATATTGTAATAATTAGATCAAATTATTAGATTCACTGCAGTGTTTTAATAATGACATGCCTTGCATGAGTTTATATGCAATACTTTTATATTTAAACATACATGTAATGGGTTTTTATTCAGGAGATTTTTTATATACTTCCTATTTGTATTTATTTTCAACGCATTGCCTTGCAATGTTAACCAATTGATACACGAACGAAAACAAGTGCAAACCGGTTTCAAACGCGTGAAAACAATAAAGCTGTATAGAGTATCATCAGATAATTCAGACTTTACATAGAATCTTACAGTGCGTCTAATAATTTGGCTGTATCTATTGATCTAAGACTAGTAAATATTTTTAGAAGCTTCTGATTTGGAACTTTTATTTATGAATTATACCTCTGGCATAGGAATAATTTCTCCGCTATTATCAAACAATTTGCTTTAAAATTCAAAAGGAAAAAAGAATAAAAAGCAAGAACGAATATATTTGCTTTTTTATCAAATAATTTGAACTCTCCTTTCAAGAGGAGTTAAAATTTTGCTTTCAGGAGAATATAAAGTTGTATTTTTGAAATTATGCAAATTGGTGTTCCCATATTTGGCATGAAGCTGATGCAGAGACAATGTTGCCATCTAATGAATAATTCGACTTCAAATTTTACCTTTATGAAGAGGTAATATTTTGCCCGGGGTGCATACAATATTTCACTTTTCAATCGCAAGTAAAAAAAAAAAACTCGAGATGCCACTGGAAAATTTGCAGTCTCTTATTTTCCACTGCAACCGTGGTTTTTAAAGGGGTAGAGCAGGAGGAAACTAGAGGAAATTGTTTTTACGGCTACATCAAATACCTCAGGGGTAATATCAAAAACTTCAAAAAATTCTTAAGGGAAACTTCATAAAGAAAATAAAAACTATATTGAGGAAAAAAGTAGTCTTTTTCAGAGTAGTTGAAGCCTTTCAACTATTGGCTTTGATGGATTTGTTCTTCATGAAAAATGCATTCTGCGCTAAGTTTTGTTTCAGTTTTTAAGACAGAAAATTGCTTTCACAGTTTTCTTTTGCTTTTCTTACCCTGCTTACGTGACAATCAGGTTTTTCATTTCTCTGAATTTTCTTAGCTTAAAGTATAATCTTAAAGCGGAATAAAATTGAATTTAATATAGCTGAAGACAAAAATTAAATGGGCTATGTAAAACATGAGAAGCATCATATAAGATAAAAGTTACTAATATTATTACATTATTTCAAGTTTTAAAAAAAATTGCATTGTTCGGAGTTTAGTTTGGGATAGTTTTCACCAATAATGAAGAAATATCTTAGAATAAGGGAGGATAAATTATTACTTTTTCATTATTTGTTATCACTAATAGAATGTTTTAGTGCAACATATTATTATATTATTTATTTCATATCATTAATAAATAAATAGCGCAGAATGAAGGAAGATAAATTATAACTTTTTTATTATTTAATATTACTAATAGAATGTTTTAGCAAAACATATTATTATATTATTTATTACATATTATTAATGAAGAAATATCGCGGAATGACGGAAGAAAAATTATTACTTTTTCATTATTTAATATCACTAATAGAATGTTTTAGTAAAGCATACTATTATATTATTTTTTACACATTATTAATGAAGAAATATCGCGAAATGAAGGAAGATAAATTATTACTTTTTCATTATTTATTATCACTAATAGTAAAACATATAATTATATTTTTTATGCATTATTTTATAATCAAACAAATTAATAACAGTATTATATTCAAAATTTCGTTAGCTAAAAAAGTATCCGTGATTTACTTTGAAAAAAAATTTTAGCTTGGAAAAGAATGATAATAAAATTAGAAATAGGAAAAATGAAAAGAGAAATGAAAGAAATAGGACATATAGGAAAAATGAAATGAAATGCATTATTGAGCTTGAAATCAAAACTAAATAGATGATAGGAAATCTAAGAAAATGTAAAATAAATAAAGAAATAAAAAGTACCATACTCTAAATAAATCGTAATTACTCTCGTTTACTGTACTGTAGATATAATTTTTTGTAGATATAATTTTTTATACTGTAGATATAATTTTTTGGTACCTGAAATTTTCAGACATTTTTATAAAGATTTGCCAATGAGGTATTAAATGTTTATTCACTTCTTAAATGTAATTTTAATAAGTAAGGCATTTAAAATAAAAAAAAACCGTTTAAGATTTTTCTTTTTAACTAAGCACTGGAGTCGTGGGAGCTCTGTGAACAGAGTAATGAGAAGCCCCGGGATCGAATTTCGGTGTTGACCAGTCATGTACTCTCAGCTCACACCGAACACAATGCTAACATAGCAATTTTGCAGAGTTTTTTTTTGTGAGTATGAATATAACAAAATTTTTTGTTAAAATAACAGTGCTTGTTTTTTAAGTAACAGTACTTATCTGCACAAAAAAGAACAAGCGTTCGTTTTTGAGTTAAAGTATTTTCCTGCAAAATAAAAGGGTTTTATATGGGCATTCCCACTGACAGTTTAAAATAACAGTGTTTTTCTGTGAAATAAAAGATTTTATATGGGCATTCCTGCTGACAGTTTTAAATAACAGTGTTTGTCTGTGAAATAAAAGGTTTTATATGGGCACTCCCACTGACAGTTTTACATAACAGTGTTTTTCTGTGAAATAAACAATTTTACATCGGCATTCCCACTGACAGTTTCAAATAACAGTGTTTTTCTGTGAAATAAAAGATTTTATATCGGCATTCCCACTGACAGTTTTAAATAACAGTGTTTTTCTGTGAAATAAACGGTTTTATACCGGCATTTCCTCTAACAGTTTTAAATAACAGTATTTTTCTGTGAAATAAACGTTGTTATACCGGCATTCCCGCTGACAGTTTTTTTCCTGTAAATTTAACAGTGTACCAATGTTTTTTTTAAAAATCATTCCTAATATATCAATAGTTTGAACTTCGTAACAGAGACATTCAAACAATGGATGCCAAACAAAATCAGTAACGATAATTCAGATGCATATTGAAAATAATTCTGAGAATGCTAGGCTTTTTTTTCTAAGAACTTTTTACGGAAAAAAAATTAAAGAATTCTTTCGAAATAGGAAATATCTGAATAGAAGCAAGCAAAGAACCTGGAATAAAAGAATTTGTAATAACGCAAAGTGCGAGAGCTCTTTGAACCTGTTTTCAATCCTTTATGATCAGGGATGTCACAGATTATTTATTCATTTTATACTCCTGAAGTCAGAAAAGAGAAAAGAATTTTTCCTTGAGTCTCAACAGACATTCAAGAAAAACAGAAGAGGAGAAATAGTTCCAATATTTAATTATGTCGAGTTTCATTGATGTCAATTCTTTTTTACAATCTGCCTGGCATTGGGCAGAGTTCTTTTATTGCACACAGTTTTAACTGAATTGGATTCAAAATTTATAGCTGAAATAAAGTTTTTCATTTGTTCTTTATCTTTAGAGAACGTTCGTTACAGCACTCCCTCTCCGAGTTAACAATAAAGTAGTATTTTTTTCTTCTTCATAAATGATTAACTTTCGCGGATTTTCTTTATATCATGATGATAAAGCATTACATAATCCCGATAATTCACTGGCTTTATTTTTTATTACAAAACTGGTATTGATTCTGATAGAGGAACTGGATGCTTCAATTTTACGTTAAAGTAAAATTATTGTTTTTAATTATAAGTACTTTCTATCACTTATAGTTTAATTATTAATATTTTTTAACAAATATAAAATTATACTATATATTTTATTATCTGCAATTACTCAGTATATATATATGTTACCGACAAAGTATGAAACACCGGCATGCAGTGGAATGCTTAGGCATTGTATATACCAAAGGCATTGTATATAATTAGGCATTGTATTAGGCTTGTTTACGTTCGTGTATAAATTGGTTAAATTAGACGATATATAAAATAAATTTGATGAAGGGATATATTAGATGATATATTATATAAATATAGAATACTTATTGCATCAAGCATTATATTAGTATATTATAATAATTAGGTCAAATTATTAGACGCACTATACTTTTTTGATAATGACATGATTTGCACGAGTTTGCAGGCAATACTTTTATATTTAAACTTACATGTAATGATTTTTTTTTGCATTTGCGTTACATAAAGAGGAAAACCATGAAAATCCATGATCCGTCTACCCCTGAAGATAACACTGTGGTCGGTGGGAGCCGTGTGCGGAATTCGCATCTTCCTACCATCTCTGAGATTCGAAGCCCAGTTCCCCTCATTGGAGGTCGAACGCTCTATCCCCTGAGCTGCCACGACTCTGATATGACGACCAATATTGGAGGATTTTCATCATGTTATGTTTATAAAGCATTGGATAATTAGCTAACTTTATTTTCTCTCTAAATTAAGAAATCGTAAGGGTCACCAATGCTCTTTTCGGTCTTCAACTTAGCGTTGGACCAAACACTAAAACTAATAAAGCTTGGAATTACACAATGAAAAAAAATATAAAAATGAGATTGCTAACACTTTTTTCTATTTTTCGCATAGACTTTATATTGACGCTTTGTGTCATTTTCAGAATTAGTATAGAGGGCGCTGGTAAAAGATAAACTGAAATTGACCTAGCAGTAATCAATTAACTGCTACGAATTTGCAGCTGTTATAAAACTATATTTATGTGGCGACAGAGCTTTCGTAAAACATCCTTAAATTTTAAAACAAACTTTTAGAACTTTCTATAGCTTTTTTTTTTCAAAATAATATTTTATTTTACATTTTTTGCGTTTTATTTATTCCAAAAGAGAAAAATACAGATCATGATCAGCTTAAAAATCAGCCCCAACTGAGCAGAAATTTCGTTTAATCCGTAAAGATAGCTTAAAGATTTTCAACTTCGTTTTCAAAGTCACTATAATCCTGAAAGAATTTAAACCTTTAAGTAGTTATAAGCCGATTATCATAATGTTAATAACTCGGCTAACAATTTACCCATTTTCTTAATAATCACAACTCGATAGCTATAGCGTAATGATACGAATTCTTATAGGTTAAAATTTAGCAAAAAAAAATTAGCATATTCAAAAAATAGTACTTTATTCTTAATCTTCTGATTCAATACTGCTTAATGCGCTTTTCTTCATATTATATGACATTATACTTTTGTAATTCTTATTTTTAACAATACTCAAAATTTTATAATATAAACTTCAATATTACATGGTTGATAAAGTATCTCTCTAAATAAAATAAAAGAATCGCAGAGGCGTCGCCGTTGTCTTAGATGTTGAACTTTACGCTACATTTTGTTTCGCCGCGTAAAAGAGACTTCAGATTTTGACATGAAAAAACCGCTCTGCTGCCCGCAGAAATGCAAGTACTAAGTTGAAATTTAAAGTGCTTAAAGGACCATTTTTGCTCATAAACTTGTCTTTTTAATCGAAAGTAATTACAATTTTAAGTGCTTTTTTCATAAATGTTCCTTCCTTTATTTTGTTTTGAATAATAACTACTTATGCACTGTTCTAAGAAAATTCATTTATCTCCATTAAGCTCTTTATTTATAAGTCTGCACTTGAGCTGATGTCGGGACTAACAAGAAAGAGAGAGAAAGAGATAAGATATAGCCAGATTATACAGATCTTAAAATTTTAATTAAATTTTTTGAAATATCAAAACTTTAATGGAATAAAAATAAACACTGTTTCCTTTTTTAACTTTTATAATAATATAAGTCTTGTTAGAAAGTAAAATTACTTCGGATTTACTTTTTCTTATTGTTTAACACATTCGGCTTCTATGTTTTTTTTTCAATAGCAGCTTACTATTTTTAAAATCTCTGGAAACTTTTACATCGTGCGTGATTTTATCAAGCTTTATATTTTCTAACAGGTTTTTATGAAAAGAATCAGTACTCTCACACATAAATTACTTACATTTTATATACTTAGATATTACATGCATTTTATAGCGTATTGCTTTTAAACATATTTATACCGTAGAAATTATTTATGGGTTATTCTAACAGCTATCACTAAGTTTGATAATCTTCTATGAAAGAAGTATTGAAAATTTTGGAAAAAATCATAGTTAATTTGTTTGATTTTCAAGACATTTTATATTACTCCTTTACAGAAATTTTTATTTTTATCATTTACTTAATAATAAAATCTATAATAATAAAATAATAAGTTAACGCGAATCATTATCTATAATAATAGAAGAATAAGTTAATGCGAGTGTGTAGGGGTGTGCCTGTCGGTTTCTCTAATAACTCAGAACAGTTTTAGCGAAGATCCTAAAATTTAAACACTGGTTTTATTTTTTACTATTTTTTTTATTACTTTCTCGTTATTATTATTACCGTCATTGAACTGCTGACTACAGTTTTGGGTTTACGACTACTAATGCTCAACTACGTAACCTTGTCTTTTTGAGCCCAACCCTGAAGACAAAGAAACTCCTGGATCAAGTATTGGGCGAAAGTAGCCTTCGTGGAGGACTTTTTGATGAAACTAACCCGCATTTGCACTACATGGAGAGGAAAACCAGGAGAACCTCTCACGGTTAGCCCAACGGCAAGGGAACATGATCTGTGTACCCCTGAGGATGTTCCACGTCAGTACTGTGGTCGGTACAAGCCAGATGCGGCTTTCGGATCAACAATCGATTGATGGGATTTGAACCCTGTTCTCCTCAATGGAAGACGAAAGCTCTATTCCCCTAGATATCACGACTCTAACACTGGTTTTAAAAAAGATTCCCCCAGATCCTAAAAATTGTTAAAAATTCCCATATTCCCTTTTGATAATTGATTTTTTTCCCCTCTTTGCTTTAACTTTAAAAATTGCTATAAAAAATACAAGAATCTGTTCTTCGTAAATTTTAGATACACACTGGTGTTATATCATGGATATTTGCGTGTTTTCATCTCTATCATTATTTAGATGAAAACACGTTCTATTATCCTTTATATCAATCAATAATATCATGCAAGCCTTATGATAACGAAGCATGATTAATCCTTAATTTGATAAGTTGAATTTTTAGAAACATGTTTTGTTTAATCTAATAGCGTAAATTTTCCAAAAAGAGATTCAATATATGACAGAGTGAAAACAATGGCATCACTTTTACTAAATTATTGTGTCTTTCTGTTTTTAGTATGATTTCGCAGTTTTGTTCAATACCCATTCAATTAATAATCACTCCCCCCCCCCCCCCCCCCNCCCCCCCCCCCCTCCCCATATGAATAACGGGCATTTATCCACAGTTAGAGAAAAAAAGTATGATCAAAACTATCAAAATTTACCGTGTTTTTGGCTCTGTCGCTTTGTTATTGACTTCGGGCAAATATAATAATAAAAGATGTTTTTATTACGATGCTGTTAGGTAGTAAGTGTGGTAAAAATGTGGTAATTTCATCTAGATACATTAGATCGCGGCCTAAAATTCATCTATTTGGTTAAATTTATTTTTCAGTATTGTATTTTTACTAAATGTGGAGATATATGAACTATAATTTTAAAAACTGGAATTTCCAGTAAGCACTAATGAACGGTATAAGTACAGAATAAGTGTTTCAAATACTGTATGTTTTTGTTTTCATTACCAGAATTATATGATACCATACTGTTTGTTTAACCAGCAATGACATTATCGTACAATTACGTTTATTTTACCACAAACGTATAGTAACTGCTTACATGTATGTATAGTAAGCTTGACGCACGTATAGTGCGTGTACGTATAGTGCGACGTATAGTGTGTGTATAGTATGTATAAAGCGTGTACATAATGTACGTATAGTGCGTGTACGTACTGTACGTACATAAACGTATTGTAAGCTTGATTATACATTTCTCTTTATTTTAAATAAATTAAATACTTCTCCAATTGACTTTAGAAAAAAAAACTAGCCCGTTTTCTTAACATTTTTATTTGTATTGGTATAGTTAAAAATTATATATTGTTAATATTCAAGAAGAAAAACCTTCTCAGAATTCTTGCTAATGAAAATTCTTGTTTTATCTTTTGAGAGAAAACTCACTTTCTCTAAAAGGATTCCCACCCGGGGAAACAATCACTTTTGAATTACCTAGTCGGTTTTAATAACACAACTTAAGACAAATCACATTGACAACTAAACTACGTAATACATAAAAATAAACATTTCCTAATTATGTGACTTTGTGCTGCCATCTATATTTCATTTTGAGAACTATTTCAAACAGAAACACTGTCAATGCTGTGTTCCAAATAATATTATATTTTTACATTCACTTAAGACCTAACCATTTTTTAGGAGTTCGTGGGCTTTGTTATAAATATCATTGCTCGTATGGTGCTATTTGCGTGGTTAAAAGTGGCTTTCCGACGTGCGAGTGTCCCACCTGCACTGAAGAATTTGAGCCAGTGTGTGGAACAGATGGGATTTCCTACACAAATAAATGTAAGCTGCATAGAGAGTCATGCGAACAAAAAACTGAAATTGCAGTTGCATACAGTGGATTGTGCAGTAAGTGAATCTCATTTTTATATCACTTAATAACAAATTTTAGTTTTGATTTTAAACTTATTTAAAATTTCAAAACTGTATTTGCAGTCTATGCGAATAAGGTTGGATTAAAAGGCAGAATTTTTAAGATAAGAAAACTTATTTTTGATATTTAAAAATCATTATTTGTAGATTTAAGATTCTGTTTTAGTCTGTTAGAAGGAATATCAACCTTAATCTCTACCATTTAATACAGAGAGTAATTTTTAGAGTGAGTCATATAGTACGGTCGCCATATATACGATTTTTTGTAACCAAAAATCAAAGCCATTGAGTTGCACAAACTTTTTTTACTTAACCGTCTTTTTACAGCCGACTCAATTTTTGGGTTTACGGCTACTAATGTTCTATTACATACATAGTTTGTAATTTTGAATCTAAGCCCGAAGACAAGGAACTCCTGGATCAAGTATTGGGAGAAATTTGTTTACATTACAGGCTATTGTCAAAACAATATAATTTAGAAATACATATGATTTAAATTATTTCACTGCATTTTATAAGATAAAAAAAAAGCAACCGTTGAATAGATTGCACACTTATAATCTTTCCAAAAGTCTACATGGTTCATATTTTAGTTATACCATTAAAATTCCCGATGAGGTGCTTAATATCCGTTATTTTGTTACATTAGTTGTACGATCCTTCATTAAAAAGTTAAACGAAATTCTTTACTTATGGTAGAAAGTTAACGCTTTGTGTTTTAAAACTTATGTATGTATTTATGAATATATCATGAATATATATGGATTATGAATATATTTGAGTATATAAAACTTATGAGTACATTATTTTTGTGAAAAATAAAAAAAATATATTCACTTGTTGATCATTTCAGACGGATGTGAAAATAAAAGGTGTGAATATTACGCCGTCTGTGAAAGCGATGGTCGGGGGAATGGCAAATGTGTCTGCCCCCAATCCTGTATAAAAGTAAGATTATGTACAGAGAGAGATCTTGTAAGATTATCTTAACGCGGTTTTTAATACAATTGTATTTGTTGTACTGTAGGTTGAATCTCCTGTTTGTGGTACAGATGCAGTTACATACCTCAACGAATGCGAGATGAGAGTTGAAGCTTGTCGTAAGGCTCAATATGTTTTAGTGGTCTCAAAGGGTCCATGTGGTATGTTTTGTTACTTTTAAATGTTCAAAGTTCTTAAAATTTAGCATATTAAGATCTGCTCTAACTGTTGTGTAAATAATCAATGCTTTTATCGTTTAATTTATCAAAAAAGTTTTTATAGAAGGTTAGTATTTTATTTGCATCCCACTAGAGCTACGAAATGGGCTATGAGAGACGGTCTAGGAAGTATCCATGAGGATGATCCGAAGACATGTCATTGCAATTTTGATCCTCTGCAGAGGGGATACTAATATAGAAATAATTGTTTCTACCTGAATGAGTTTTGCACACTACGTAAATAATATAAGTTATTTGAGGACTGCGTTTTTAAAATGAACGGAAAAAGAGAAAATAATTCTATTTTGACGTGACCGAAATCTGAAAACTAAGTGTTCATCGGTTTCATCGCAGCTGGAAATTTTCAGTACTAATAGAAGTTGATTGCGAAGGCGTTCAGCATTATGTTTCACGTTTTTAGTCTAGGAAAACAGAAACTATTGTCTTTGTTTTAGTTACCTTTCTTAATAATAATAATAAGAAGAAGAAGAAATTCATAAAATTCTACCCGATTCATCTCGGCTTTTGATCTGACCTACAGAACATTTTTGAGCCATGCTAAAGGAAAACGTCGGTTCTCGCCTGGAAACGCACCCAAATGCCAAATGGAAGCATTTGGAATATCTCTTTCTTCCTTTTTGATGTTCTATATTTGCGTTTAGATTTTTTCTTAAAGTTTTTTAAGACTGATTTTATTCAGCCTCTCTAAAACAAGTTTCGGGTTGAATAAAAATAAAAATATTTTCTTTCGTTACCTTATATTTTTTATCTTATGTACATCTTTATTTCCCTCTTAAATGAAGAACTTATCTTTTTTAAAGACTCAAAAACCTTTGATGTCTAAATTCGGGAAACACGGCCCGATGAGAACTTTGGCTTCAATCAGAATACCGTTGACGTGGTAGTCAACCAGTTAAAAAAAAATTATATTTTTTTCACTACCCTTCATATTGTCATCTTTCAACATGTTGAGATTCATTTAACTTTGTGAAGCGTCACTCGACTATGGAAGTTATGGATAGATGACAATTTTTGCTTTCACCTGAATACGGGAGATGCAGTAGTCAAAGCGTTATAAAATAATTTTATTTTCTCTCACTACATTCCATATATTGTTTTAATTAATGATAAATTCATTAAGTAATATCGTAAATATTTTAATTCAGTCAAACCCTACTATAGTGAACACGGTTTATAGGGAACTCGTTCGGTTTATAGGGAACAAAATTCTCACTCCCTTGCCTTGCTATACACATATGTTATTTTTTGTGGATATAGTGAACCAAAAAAGAGAGGAAGTTGGATCAAAGTGCACGTAAGTGATACGTCTCACGTATTCTTTGGCCAAGAGTTGGATATTAGGAACTATTTTCTGTCTTCGACTGATTTTTTCTTCTTCGTTTTCTGGTAATTTTGAAATTTCTACAAGTAATAGATATACCGATTTTTAAAACCATCTATAGAGTGGTATGTGTCCGTAAGCATTTTTTCTCTTCTTTTATCTCAATTTCTCATCTCTAACTAAAGGACATCCCTAAATTTTTTGTACGCAGAGACGAAGAGTAATAAAATTTAACTCATTTTTTGTTACTACTACATATTGTTTTTGAGTCATTTCATTTTATGGGTCATTTATTTAAATAATGCGTAATAAAAGGGAGAAGTTCAGAACCATTAGCTGTATGGATATAGTGAACTTAAATTTCGGTCCCTTGAAGGTTCACTATAGAGGAGTTTGACTGTATTATTAAATTATTTACGACAAGCATAATATCATGCATACTTTTTTGAAGACGTTCTCAAAGGGTTAAAGTGAATAACATTTTATGGCTATTTAAAAAAGCATTTTTTATTTTTAGGAAAATAATTTTCACAGATTATTCAACACATTACCTATAATTTTTTTATTAGAGAAGCCCCTCTTGACTTAACTCTACGTCTTTTAGATCTCTGTCAAAATGTTCATTGTAAATATGAATATTCTTATTAGAGAAGTATCCTTGTTCAACTTAACTTTACGTTTTTTAGATATCTTTCAAAATGTTCATTGTAAATATGGCTATTTTTATTAGAGAAGTTCCCTTGCTAAACTTAAATTTACGTTTTTTAGATCTGTGTCAAAACGTTCATTGTAAATATGGAGCTCGATGTGAAAATGGTCGATGTGTTTGCCCAACTGATTGTCCAAACGTGTCCGAAACTGTCTGTGCAAATGATGGTGTGACATATCAGAATGAATGCAAGATGCGCCATGCAGCGTGCATTCACGATCAGGAACTGAATATGCTTTTCTATGGTGAATGTGATCAAGTCGACGAATCACAAGGTACATTTTGATGATATAATATGGTGCGTGGCGTTTTTTAAAAGCCCTTAAAGGTGTTTTTTTATTGGGTGTTTTTAAAAAGTGCTTAATTTTCCCTTTTCGAAAATGAGAATTTTTTCTTTATCATGTCAATTTTCGCCACGTATTATGCAAAAGCATGCTTTTCACATTGTTCTATTCAACATTTTCACAATTCATTCGATCACAATCTATTTTGGCTTACATTTGGTCCGCATAGCGTTTAAAAGCGTCAATCATTTTACATGTTTGATAAAATACTTGGAAGTCCGCATGTGCGTCTACTGAGCTGGGTTCGGTGAGATTAATGCACTCTCATGTGCAACTCAGCTGCATTTTGCAAGATTATTCTCCACTTTAGGCTTCATTTTCCACCCTCTGATATCGAACCGAAAAATCTCTTTATCGTTTTAAAAATGTCTAATATAAGCAAGAGAAGAGTTCTTTGTCAGAAACTAGTTATTTTATGATCATGTAAAGTCTTCGAAAACTATCTTGCATTTTTTAATGTACATAGTGCTTAAAAATACTTTTTGAGTGCTTAAAAAGTACTTAAAATGTGCTTATTTTTTGTTGAAAGATTTGGCTACCCACCCTGTGTAAGCACTTAAATAACTTAAGTATCCTCCCATTCAAAAATAACAAATATAGGTAAATGATTTATTAAGATGAACTTTTATTTTACAAGAATATTCAGGTTTTTATTTACATTCGAAATATATCTCTTTGCGTACCTTAACAACAAGCTTACAAACTTGAGAAAGCCAAGAAGCTATTTCTACCTTTCACATGGGGTTTGAAATAAATAGCCCATTACTATGTAAACTACTATGCTTATTACTTTACATAAAATAGGCTTTGTATTACTAGACAGATTAGCACGTAAATTGCTAGTGACTACTTCTTTTTTTTTAAAAAAAAAATCTACTACTTAAGGGGAATGCAATTAACATCTTGGTTATTATTTTACATACAAATCGCGAATTTGCCTATGGCACTGTGACTGGCAACGTGCATGAGACAAGAATGATTTCTAGTGAAGGAAAAACACGTGGAACCTTTTCGCGGTAAAAAAAAAAAAGAAAGAAAAAATTAGTAAAAGTTGCAGTTTATGTTGCGAGCAGTGTCTTTGGAGTACGTAATGTCATCTATTGCTGACTTCGCAGCGCCATCTGTTGAGCTCTGCGACACCACAGTAAATACGAATACTCAGGCCCTACATAATTATTTCAGTTAAAAAATCATTTAGTACAAACTGAAAAGCAGAGCAGTGATGGCTTAGGGCAGTGGTCGGCCAACTTATTAGACAAAGAGCCAAATATGAACATTACAACACTTTTAAAAAAAATTGGGAGCCAAATTTGCTTGTTTAGTAAACTTTCATTACACTAAATTCTGTTTACTAATTTGTACACTAAATAAAACTAAATTTCATACTTAATAAACATTTATTAATGCGAACAATGCGCTTGCATCTCCTTGGAAAGTTTGAGTAAGTCAGGTTTGTATGTTGTTGTTTTTAATTTTAGGCATGATTCCAAGTTCTCATCAATAAGACGACTTCTCAGTTTACTCTTGATAATGTTCATGCTTGAAAAAGATTGTTCGCATATATACCTATGTAGAATCAAAAAGGGAAAGAACAGCAAACGCGAGCTTTTTCACCTGATCATAAGAGTCAGGAATACTATTCCAGGCGTTGAAAATGATCATGTCTTCCTTCTCCAGGTCATTCAAAGCCGACCACTTGTGTTGAGAACTGAGATCAAATTTTTCTTCTCCACTATTTCCAATTCAACACTAAGACGTTCGAATTTAGAGCACCATATCTCCTTGTTTTTTAAATCCAGTAATTGTATTTCAGAGTTACCAATGTCATTTTCAAAAGGAGAACATTTCGACTGGGTTATCGCAGCATTAAGAGGATTTTTGACAAATGCTGAAGTTACTCTGCTGTTTTTAAATTCCTGAAACCTGCTGAGAAATGCTTCCTTCATATTTAAAATTATTGTTTTAAAATGGTGTTTATCAATAGAAGAATTAATTTATTGGCGATGCTTCAGCAGGCTTGGAAAGTGAAACAATGTTTCCCTTTCAAAATCAAAAACTTTTTAAAAAGACGGGACAACGGCAGACACGGTAGATAAGACAAAACTGTTCACACTGCAACTGCTTGTCTGTGATGCCAATTTGTACCCCCACTACTTTAACTTTAGATAAGGTATGCGCGCATGCTTGTGGTAACTTTGTATCGCACCGGAGTACACCGAAAATATACGAAAAATTTCAGCCGGTAGCTTGTTCATGATTTGTGTTTACGTTTACGAAAACTAATAAAATTAAACTCGATGTCCGTTACTTATTTTTACAACANATACGAATCCGCATCCGTCTTGCACCGACAACAGGGTAGACGTGAAATATCCTCAGTGGTAGACGGATGATGGGTTAGAGTCTCTTTGCCGTCAGGCTAACCGTGGGAGGTTTCAGCGGTCTTCCCCTCCATGTAACGCAAATGCGGGTTAGTTCCCTCAAAAATTCCTCCACGAAAACAAATTTCTCCCAATACTTGATCCATCCATGAGTTCCCTTGCCTTCTGGATTGGGTTCGAAATTACAAGGCTACGGAGTGTAACGTCAGTGGTCGTAAACCCGAAAATTGGACTGGCTGTTCAACGTCGGTTATAAAATAAAAACTGAGAAGCAAAAATAAAATCTAACTTTCTCAGGAATCTTTGCCAATAATAAACCAAAAGCGAAGAATATCCGATACAATACTTAGCTGAAGTTTCGTGTTGGTCTGGCACTATGAGTTTAACAAAATTTCTTTCGTCATAAGTAATTTTAATTGGTAAAAAAAATGCAATGAATAACTCCCGCGAAATAGTAATAAAAAAAGAGAACTTTGTAGTTTTGAAAGGAAATTTATTCAATTAGATTAAAGCAGTGCCTATGACAAGCGGTAGTTTGTCGCATTTTTGAAAACTATCTACCATCTTCCTTTCAACTTTTGAATTTTTTTTTTAAATTATTGTGATTAGCATTTTCTGAAAATTTCGTTTAGACTGAGCCCTACACATAATACGGCAACATTTACTTTGAATTAATTATTAAAAAGCAACCGATACTTGAATATAACCCTTTAATTAAATCTTTATGTATAAAATCAAATTTTGCTCTATTGTTCAATCCGAAGGATACTGGAAGAAAATCTTTACCTAAATAATTTTGAAAAATCTTCAAAAGATGAAATTTAGTGTAAACATCTAGATTCAAAAATATTTTGTTTAGTTTATTTTCTTTATTTTTAATATTTTTGTATTTAATATTTTATTCTTAATTTTCACTTTAATTATAAATTTCTTCAATTTTAATTTCATTTTAATTTTATTTAAAATTTTATTTTTAGTTCTTAATTTTTTTTTTAAATTTTAATTTTTGAAAATTATTGATGAAAAGTTATTTTCAAATATTATTTGTGTATTTTAATATTGTATTACACTAATATTTCATTTTTATTTTCTGTTTTAAATATAAGTTATTTCAGTTTTATTCTAATATTAAATTTATTTAACTCTTGGTTTTTATTTTATTACTAAACTTATTTTTTAAATTTAATTTTATTTTTAACCTTTAAAATTTCATTTTTATGTTCTAATTCAAAATTTAAGTTTTAAATTTTTTTTTTTAATATTTTATTTTATTTATAAATATATTGTTAATTTTATTTTTCATTTATTCTTTTAGATGAAGGTTCAGGGGTGGAGATGGACTGTGAAGAAAAATCTTGTAAATTTGGTGGAGTCTGCGAATATGACTCTGAGGGAGTCCCACAATGCGTTTGTAATTTTCATTGTTCCCAGGCATTGGATCCAGTTTGTGGATCCAATGGAAAACTATATGATAATGCGTGTAAACTAAGAGAAGAATCTTGCAATCAGCAGAAAGGAATAATGCCAGTTCACATAGAAATGTGCGAAGGTAAATATTTATAGTTATTAAGTTTACTAGATGGTTCATTAAAAATTATACAATAATATTAGAGAATTATTAACTATAATCAGATTGAAACCAATCTTTAAAATTTTAATGATGTGAGAGTTTTTGATTGATAAAAATTGATATGATGGTATATTGAATTCCGTAGATACCAGTTGATGTTTGACAAAAACAGAAAAATAAAACATTTTCTTTTCAATCTCAAATTATTATTTTACATATCTCAATTTTTATTTATTGTTTACGAAAAATTAAGAAAAAAGCTGAAAACCATTAAAATATGTAAATGAATTTGAGAATTATTAAAATTCTCATATAATTAATATAAACTTAGATTTAATCATTATCGAAAATATCACAAGGCAAATTTTAAATGAACTAAAAGAAATCTCAATATATTTTAAGATGAAACTGTTTTACGAATTTCTTAAGACAAACTTAATTCACTTTAAAGATATTCAAAATGTTTGTAAAATGTCTGCTAAAATTCTTAAGTTATTTTGGAGATAGAGTTAATTCTTGAGAAATTCTTCTAACTTTTAAAGAATTTCTTAAGAAAAATCTCAAGATTATTTTTAGTGGGGGCAATTCTTGAAGTTTTATTATACCATGTTTCTTAGAAATAAATATGTGTACTTTCTGTGGTAGTCTTTCTGTGAATCATTGATGTATTAGAAGATTTTAGCATATTTTGGAGAATTTTGTAGTTTTTTTTTTTTTTTAAGTGATGCTTATTAGTAGATCTGGAATAGCGCTCATTAAGGTAATTATTTCTCAAAATTTAAAGTTTGATACAATATTTAATTAAGGAAGTATTTTTAAAAAAGTAAACCTAATGGTGAGATTTGCGGCAAACGCTTACAATAAGATGCTCCTTTTATTTCCTCAATTATTTATTATAAGATAACAGACAAAATGACTTAAAAGTAAAACCTTTCTATTAATAGAATATCGCGAAAAAATACGAAAACCGAATATTTAATAAACAGCAAAAGCTCCATGTGCAGTGTCCAAACTTAGGCCCTCTACACTCCAACTATATTCATGCATAACTAAATATAAAAATAAATACGAAAAAAATGGTTAGGGCAAACCTTTTGAGCCGCAATGGCTCAGTGGATAAAGCGTCCGCATCCGGCTTGCACCGACCACTGTGCTGCGTGAAATATTCTCAGTGGTAGATGGATCATGGATTAGAGTACCCTTGCCGTTAGGCTAACTGTGGGATGTTCTCGTGGTCTTCTTCTCCGTGTAATGCAAATGCGGGTTTGTTCCATCAAAAATCCTGTGTGTGTGAAAGTAAACTAAAAATGAATCACATATTGGTAAAAACTATCACCAGACCAAGGAGCTCCCGATTCTAAACTTTAACCTAATCTGAAATTAAAACAGATTGCATGATGTGCACTAATGTCTGATTGCACGTGCTATGCATGTTGTGTAATAAAATTCTAAAAGTGACCGCATTTGTTTTTATTTTTTGTAATCTCTAATGGTCTTATATCTCTAATGGCAGAATTCCGAGAAGTGCCTTGTGATGGAGAAAAACCACTCGTTGATATTGCCACCAACAAGGACTACTTCTGCGGTGAAGGAATAGGTTCAAAACTGTGTCCCCCCGGAAGCTACTGTCACAAATCTTCAGCTTTTTCTAAATGTTGCCGCGAAAGTAAGTAAATGTCTTTAACACTAAACATACCGTTACGAGACGAATGACCCGTTTAAGAACTTTTGCATCGAGAATGCGCTTCTCATCTTATCGTTTTTGCACATTTGACTTCATGACTTTTTCTAACAATTATGTTAATATTCTATTATTATTATTATCATTTTTGTATTTTGTTTGCTTCGAATAATACTTGTCGTAAACCTATTTCGACCACAACCGGCCATTTGACCAGGAGAACAATTTATTGCTTTATAAGGTTATCGGATCAGAAATAACGATGGAGTGCGTGTCCAACGTATTGTATTCGATGAGTTGCACATTTCTGCAAAGACTGTTGCGTAGTCAGTTCAATCAGAATAACTGAGAATTCAAATTTCAAGAAAGTGCTTGAAATTTTAGAGTAGCATTTTTGTGTCAGAAAAAGTGACAAAAACTGAATGTTTTGATACGTAGTTACCAACTGTTAGTTGATTTCTAGCTAAGTGTCGAAGCAATCAAGATTGCACAAATTTTTAGAAGAAATAGTATTAATTATAAGAATAATTATAAGAATTATTATAAGAATTATAGTTCTTACGTATTCTTATAATCATAAGAATAATTATAACAATTATAGAAATAATAATAATTAGAAGAAATATGTTTGGGGAAAATGTACAATGGAANTGAAAATATATATATATATATATATATGAAAGTAAACTGAAAATGAATCACATATTGGTAAACAAAAATCACGCTAACTAGAAAGCAAAAGGCATTCAAAGCGAAGACAGGGAAGAATATCATGAACGGAAGATCATCAGAAAACGGGGTTACAGAAAAACAGAGCGAAAACTATCAACAGACCAAGGAGCTCCCGATTCTAAACTTTAACCTAATCTGAAATTAAAACAGCTCGCATGATGTGCACTAATGTCTGATTGCACGTGCTATGCATGTTGTGAAATAATATTCTAAAAGTGACCGCATGTGTTTTTATTTTTTATAATCTCTAATGGTCCTACATCTCTAATGGCAGAATTCCGAGAAGTGCCTTGTGATGGAGAAAAGCCCCTTGTTGATATTGCCACCAACAAAGACTACTTCTGCGGTGAAGGAATAGGTTCAAAACTGTGTCCCCCCGGAAGCTACTGCCACAAATCTTCAGCTTTTTCTAAATGTTGCCGCGAAAGTAAGTAAATGTCTTTAACCCTAAACATACCGTTGCCGGTCGAATGACTGTTAAAGAACTTTTGCATCTTCTTATCGTTTTTGCACATCTGACTTCATGACTTTTTCTAACAATTATACACACTTAATATTCTATTATTATTATTTTTGTATTTTGTTTGTTTCGAATAATACTTGTCGTAAACCTATTTCTACCACAACCGGCCATTTGACCGGGAGAACAATTTATTGCTTTATAAGGTTATCGGATCAGAAATGACGATGTAATACGTGTCCAGCGTATTGTATTCGATATGTTGCACATTTCTGCGAAGACTGTTGCGTAGTTAGTTCTATCAGAATAACTGTGAATTCAAATTTCAAGAAAGTGCTTAACATTTTAGATTAGCATTTCTGTGTCAGAAAAAGTGACAAAAGCTGAATGTTTTGGTACGTATCTTATATTTTATTTCGACAGCATTACTTCATTTCTTACTAACTGTTCGTTGATTTCTAACTAAATGTCGAAACAACCAAGACTGCTCAAGTTTTTAGAAGAAACAGTACTAATTATAAGAATAATTATAAGAATTATAACTCTTTTATATTCTTATAATCATTAGAATAATTATAAGAATTATAGAAATAATAATACTTAGAAGAAATATGTTTGCCGAAAATGTACAATGGAAACACCCTGTATACATAAAGAAATGCTTTGTGTAATGAATTAAAAATTCTTAATCTTTGTGTTTGTAATACATAAAAATTGGCAATATACAATTTTGTTCAATTATTATAAAGTTTTTGTTGTTTATTTCCTTCCTAAAATCCATATTTCATACATGCAATCAAGAAACATAAGGTCCAGTTATTTGACCGGCTATGGTAGAAATAGATATATATATATTAAGTGTTGGTATCTTTAGAATGCATTTAGTGCAATCGAATTAGTTTTTCACGCAACAGCAGGTTAAAGTAAATTGTGTGATAAACATTAAGCTTGCTTTTCACAATTGTTACCCACCAATAACGTTAGTTAACCAAATAAATGCTTTATTTTTTTCTCTAAGCCTGTAAGCTTAGGGTACTTCAAATTAAACGTTTACATCATCGTTAGGTAAAAATATTCTGAAGTGGCGAAGGAAAGTTTGATTTTCCAGCGAATACAGGCTTCGGCTCTTAAAACTCTAAATAATAATACAAATATCAACTTATAACTTTTGCATGTTCTAAAAATGCTTCATAATGTGGAAAATCTATAAAATATTCAATATTTGTTTGAAAACCTACGAAATGCAACCAGCAAAAAGTTTTTATGTGCTAATTTTTGCACATATTTCTGCTCGTTCGTCATCCTTATTTTAATAAGTTTCTAATCTATAAGCAAATTTATCCCCTGAATATCTTTGTTCGTATTATGTTAGCTTCACATGATGTAAGGATCTTTTTTTTAATAATTTTTATGGCTGCTGTGAATTTGGAAAATGAAAATGTTATGTTAGATTTTGTCAATCTTTAGCCAGGGCCTTCTGATGATATTTCAAACTACTACTCTAAATTTCATTATAAAGAAAATCCTTTTTTTAGCGTTTTGAAAAACGTTTGTTTAATATTTTAAAAGTAATTCCATATTTTATTTTATTTTACAACCGTCGTTGAACAGTCGACCCAATTTTAGGTTTACGACTACTAATGTTCAACCCCGTAGCCTTGTAATTTTGAACCAGTCCAGAAGACAAGGAAACTCCTTGATCAGTACCCCCAGAGGTATGATTTTTTATGCGAACATGAAGGACTTAGTGACTCGACAAATTTAACGTGCAGCAGTCACCATTTACTGCACGGGAAGTCTACTGCCGGCGTGGATCGAATCCATGCCATCTTGGACATGGGCCCAGTGCCCTAGCAAACCAGGCTATTCCGGCACCCTAATTCTATATTTGTATTGTTTAGTGTCATATGATGGTACTTAAGTTGATAATTATTTATTAATTTAATTATTTCCATCCAGTAGTTTAAATTTTACCGCGTTCATGTTTTTTTTTTAAGAAAAAGAGTTAAGTATTTTTTTAATATTTAAAATATGTGCCTGCCTTTCAAGTTCAAAAAATTGAGTTTACCAAGTATATATGCGCGTTATTTAAATTTAAGACTTTACTGTAAGTCAATACCACTCAAACTGTTGTATGTTTCATTCTTTACTAAGAGTTTGAAAAAACGGCATTAGAAAAATTAAATTTTTAATGAAAAATCCTCTAAATCTTTATATTGATTATCAAATATCCCAATTTCAGTTATTTTAATCAAAACGTGCTCTGAAGCGATTTTTGGGTGCTGCCCAGATGGAAATACTTCTGCTCAAGGACCCAACAACGCTGGATGTCCAAGTATGCTTAAACATTGAGTACACTTAATAAAAATGCATGTGACGGATTTGTTTTTAAGAATATGATATCGCCATAGGTGTTTGCAACTGCAACCGTTTGGGAGCGTTTGGTTTAACTTGCGACCCAGTCTCAAAGCAGTGTTTTTGCAAGCCAGGAGTTGGGGGACCTCACTGTGACAGGTGTGAGCCTGGCTACTGGGGTTTGCATCGAATCACTGACGAAAACAGTGAGGGTTGCACTCGTAAGTAGACATACCATAATTTCTTAACTTAAAAAATTTTAAAAAATTCATATTGTGAAAGATGTTGTGGTTACCAGGTTGTGAAAAGTCAGTTCCCATCCTTAACAGGAAGATCTCTCAATTTTAAAAATTTTGTTGAACTTGCATGAAGTTAAAATCACATCATGGCTTTATTTAGTGCAATATCTCCTTGCTACTTCTATGGAAACGTGTATAGGGAAGAACTAAAAAGTTCTGTTGCATGTAGCTATGCTAATTATAGCCTTTTCAAAAGTGGAACCGTAGTAATTTTTTAAAATATGTAAAAAAAAATTGAAATTTGAAAATTTTAATCGATTAAAAATCTTTAGTTATTAATAATATAATTTATTTTCGATTTAAGCATTCATAAAAGTTTGGTAAACATTGAAAGGTTCATTTTTAAACGACGAAAAGTTTCATTTTTGAAGGTTCATTTTTAAAAAGATGAAAAGTTTCGTTTTCGAAGGTTCATTTTTAAAACGATGAAGATCTCTTAATTTTAAAAAGTTTGTTAGACTTGCAGAAAGTTAAAATCACATGATGGTTTTATTTAATGCAATATCACCGTTGCTACTTCCTTTGACAAGTGTATAGGGCAAAACAAGGAAGCTCTGTTGCTTGTAGCTATGCTAATTATAGCATTTTCAAAAGTGGAACAGTAGTAATTTTTTAAAATCTGTGAAAAATAATTTGAAAATTTTAATCGATTAAAAGTCCTTAGATATTAATAAAATAATGTTTTTCGATTAAATCATTTATTAAGGTTTGGAAAGTATTGCAAGGTGCATTTTTGAAACAATGAAAAGTTTTAAGTGGCAATCAGTACGAACATTTGTCTTCAGAATATTATATCATACNTTTTAATCGATTAAAAATCTTTAGTTATTAATAATATAATTTATTTTCGATTTAAGCATTCATAAAAGCATTGCAAGTTTCATTTTTAAACGACGAAAAGTTTAATTTTCGGAGGTTCATTTTTAAAACGATGAAGATCTCTTAATTTTAAAAAGTTTGTTAGACTTGCAGCAAGTTAAAATCACATGATGGTTTTATTTAATGCAATATCACTGTTGCTACTACCTTTTACACGTGTATAGGGCAAAACTAGGAAGTTCTGTTGCTTGTAGCTATGCTAATTGGGTATACTATAGCCTAAGTCACAGGTCGTGTTATTCCTACTAAATCTTAACTAGTAAACAGCATTTTCTGCGAACCTGATTTCTAGCAACAAGTAAACATTAAACGAAGTGTCTTGTTATAAGTCGCTACTCGTCATATTGGAAATGTATTAGTCTAGTTCCTTTTGAAATAATTTATTTTGTTGTTTTATCTAAGTTTATGAATTTAGTAACCATATTTAAAACTCAGCTTATTAATTAAGCTAAAAGGTAAATATTATTCCAAGTAAAATTTTCGGAGTGGAAGTAGTTGTGTTTTTTTCATATTATACCAAATTATAGCATTTTCAAAAGTGGAAGAGTAGTAATTTTTTAAAATATGTAAAAAAGAATTTGAAAATTTTAATCGATTAAAAGTCCCTAGATATTATTAAAATAATGTTTTTAGATTAAATCATTTATTAAGGTTTGGAAAACATTGCAAGGTGCGTTTTTGAAACAATGAAAAGTTTTAAGTGGCAATCAGTACGAACATTTGTCTTCAGAATATTATATCATACATCTACAGAGCAAAATTAACAGTTGCCAGAAGCCCCTCAAGGTTATAACAACAAATGGCGATTAAAAAATTATCCGCCAATCACCTACTGAACAGCATTTTCTTCTCCGAAAATGCAACTCATATGCATTTTATTATAATTATTTTCTTAATAAGATTGAATTATTATAAAATTTTAATACTATTCTGAAAATAAGTGTTTTCTAGCTTCATGAAACATTTGGAATAACCGTTTGATGACATCTGTTATATATTTGCCATGCATATTTTAATACTTTTTTGGGATGAAAGAATACGCTTCTTACATATTAGGTTTCTTACTTAAAAATATTTTATTGAATAAAGCATTTTAAAATTTTAAATACGCTTATTCAAAGAATTTCTGATGACTCCTACTTAATTACACTGGCTCTGAGAGTTATATCACAATAAATACAAGAACTTCTTTTCAATATCTTACAAAACTCCACTAACTAGGTATAAAAACCGACGACGTTACCTGACTGTGTAAGAAAATCAGAGACCTTGCTATGCCACTTATTGGTGATCAACGCCAGCAAACGAGCGGATAATCTGTGTAAAAAAACCGACGACGTTATCTAACTGCGTATGAAAATCAAAAACCTTACTATGTCACTTATTAGTGATCAACGCCAGCAAACGTGCGGATAATTTGCGTTATAAAAACCGACGACGTTATCTGACTGTGTAAGGAAATCAGAGACCTTGCTATGTCACTTATTGGTGATCAACTCCAGCAAACGACGGGATAATCTGTGTAAAAAAACCGACGACGTTATCTAACTGTGTATGAAAATCAAAAACCTTGCTATGTCACTTATTAGTGACCAACGCCAGAAAACGAGCAGGGTTATAAAGGTCAACGGTTTACCAGAAATTCAGATTTGCAAAGATATAAATTTTCTTACCACATATTTAGTAACAATACGAAACTTAAGAATTTATTTAACTGAATAAATATTTTTTATACCATGCTCTAAAGTATTATGAAAAATTCACCGAATTTTGCCACAATTACCAAATTTTAACACTTATTATTAAACATTATTTTAATGTTAATTTTACCAACATTACCCAATACTTCGATAAAAAATACCTTAATCCCTTAATAAATACCTTAAAATATCTCAAAATATATTTTTGGTGCTCCCAGAGAACAAAGAATACGGTAAATTTTACCATATTCTGGTATCTTTAACTATACTCTTGCTGCGTAGAGTTTATAAAAAGTGCTTAAAGGTGCTTATTTTTGATTTACGTTTCTCAAAAGCCCTTAAAGGTGCTATTTTTTACTCAGGGTTTGTAAAAGGTGCTTAATTTCCTACCTTTTAGAAATAGATTTTTTTCTTTGTCGTGTCGATTGTCTTTCTAAATTACAAAAAATGCATGATTTTCTCAATTTTCTCTGAATATTTATCAGGAACTAGTTATTTTATTATGATTAATTAATGTTTTAGAAAATGTTTTGGAATTTTATTGATTTTATGTTTATAAATTAAGAAATTTTAACGACAGAAAAAAATAATTTATATTACTGTACAAATCCTAATTACGATTTTTTTGGGGGGAAAGTGATTAAAAATATTTTTTGAGTGCTTAAAAAGTACTTAAAAGGTGCTTAGTTTTTGTTGAAAAATCTGGCTTTTCCTCAGTGTACATAGAGAAGAAACTAAAACCGTTATTAATGCATTTGAATAAAAAAATGCTAACGCTATAAAAAAAAAGAATGGTATAATATCTTAAAAGTACACATTTCAACTAGGATTAAATTTACTCTGCATTTCTGAATAAAATCAGTGTTTATGAAACAGTTAAAAGAAGGGATTACGCTGGATTGAAGATACAGATGATTTATATTTACGAACTTAGAAAGATTCATCATTCTTATTCTTTTATTTAAAATCAAACGGCAAAAAAAATTATGGATATGCTAACTTTTGTATGGATAAATCTTCAGAATAAAGCTAAGTTTATTTGTCCAAATGAGTATGGGGAAAAAGATCGGCAAGAGGGATAAGTGGGTTAAAAAAACTGCATTTCATATGGAACCAGCTTAAAATAGGGATAAATTTAGTTTTTATTTGCTGAGAATTTTTCCATTTGTTAGTTTTGAAACAGAGAAAAACGTATTAAAATTCAAAAGAAGTCGATTCTTTCTGCATCTATTTAAAATAAATCCAGTTATCATTGAGAATCAGATAAATAAACAGAATAATTTTTCAGCTTCAAAAAAACGTATCGATTTATATTTCTAGTAACTCAAAGTATTTTTTTTTCGTACAATCGATTGGAACGAAATTCAATAAAAATACAAATATTATTCATATATTTTATCGTGAAGTAATTGGAGATATGAATAAAGGAAAAGAATGATCGCATTCTGCATTCATGACATTATCAGAAAAGGACATTTTTCTTAATTTAATCCTGATTATAGGTTAACTCAGGGTACAATAATATATTTTTTTAAATAACAGCATCGTACCTTATCGCAATATATTTGAAAACTTATATCCCAATTAAATGAAGTGCAAAAAATTCAAATGCAAAAAATTCAAAAATTATAAAAGTGTTTAAATTAATATTTCTATATAAATTTTAAGTACAAGTTGAACAAGTTTTTTTACTTAAAATTTTAATTAACATATGTGTTGCTTAGTTACATTTTAGTCATTTTTATTTTCTTTGAAGGAGGTACAAGTATGAGATTATATTCCAGTGGTCTCTTTACTTGGTTAAATCTGCATTTTACAATTCGAGTCAGTTGTGTTCTAATAAGAAAAATGTGTGGTTTTACCATTTAAAAATATAATTTACATTATTAATAACGTTCTTCAATATTTCATTAAAATTATTTTCGACCAGTAGTTATTTGTGACACTGATTATTATACAAGAAGAGTTGAATTTTAATGGTTCGAATAAAAATTAATTTAAGAGTTAAAATATCATGAGAGATTATAAATTGTGTTTATTTAGTTTTGGAGCTGACAACTTGAACTGTTTAAATTAATGATCGAAACGTCATCCTTCGTTCGCGAATATCAAGACTTTTTATTCAACAAAAATTTTCATGGCGAAATTAAGATGATTAATCGATATTCACAAAGCCATTTTTATTGTTTAAAATTAATAACTTTCCCCATTTTTCTGCTCCCATTTTTCAGCAGCATTCCGTCGGCGAAGGAGCAGGATAATTCTTGCGTAACTTCTTAATTGGCAGAAATAGGAGCTTTATCAGCTCTTTTGTTGTCATTTGATCCAGTAGTCTTGAAATGGTGAATAAATCGTGTCACCATTAAGTTATCGGATACTATTTGCAGCAGGATATTTCTTGCGCAACTTCTTAATTGGCTGAAATGGGAGCCCTATCGGTTCTTTTTTTTTGTCATTTGATCCAGTTGTCTTGAAATGGTGAATAAATCGTGTCACCATTAAGTTATCGGATACTATTTGCAGCAGGATATTTCTTGCGCAACTTCTTATTTGGCTGAAATAGGAGCCCTATCGGTTTCCTTTTTTCGTCATTTGATCCAGTTGTCTTGAAATGGTGAATTAATCGTGTCACCATTAAGTTATCGGATACTATTTGCAGCAGGATATTTCTTGCGCAACTTCTTATTTGGCTGAAATGGGAGCCCTATCGGTTCTTTTTTTCGTCATTTGATCCAGTTGTCTTGTAATGGTGAATTAATCGTGTCACCATTAAGTTATCGGATACTATTTGCAGCAGGATATTTCTTGCGCAATTTCTTAATTGGCTGAATTGGCACATATGTCTCACTGGCTCTTATGTTATCACCTACTGATACAGAAGTCTTGAAAAGGTAAAATAATTGTATCGCGTTTGTTTTATTAGTCACTTTAACTACACGATATTTATCGCGCAACTCCTCAATAACGCGAGAATATGACACTCAAGATAAGTAAAGTTTTGGCAGGAATATTCGCTCTTCCCAGTAAAATAATACGATACCTCCTGGTACGACAAATAAAGTACCTGAACAAGAGATTATCAATACCGATTAAAATACTCGCGAATTGTATGATATTTGCATTGCAAACTGCTACCTGCAAGAAAAATTTCGAAATTCAATGCATTTTTACTGAATTTCAGAACGTTAAATTACATGTTTTGACAGCTTTTAGAAAATAAAAAAAATTAGGATTCTACTTTACATTTTTTTAAAAAATATGCAGTTCCTGGCCAAATTATTAGCCACACTATAAGATTTGATGTGAAATCGTAATTATCAGTATATACTATACAGCTTTGTTGTTTTGACAGGACTGAAACCGGTTTTAATTTGTTTACGTTCGTGTATCAATGGGTTAAATTTGGCGATATATAATATAAATTTTACGATTGGATACATTAGACGATATATTGTATAAATATGGAATATTTATTATACCAGGTATTATATTATTATATTGTAATAATTAGACGAAATTATTAGACGCACTGTAGTTTTTTAATAATTGCATGATTTGCAAGAGTTTATATGTAATACTTTTATATTTAAACATACATGTAATGGGTTTATATTCAGGAGATTTTTTAANTCAACGGGTTGCATTACAATATTAACCAATTAATATACGAACGCAAACAAGTGCAAACCGGTTTCAGACACACAATAACAATAAAGCAGTATAGTATTACCTGACAATGAAGATTTTACGTAGAATCTTACAGTGCGTCCAATAATAATGCCAGGGACTGTATATGCATTGTAACTTCAATGTTATTCTTATATGTATTATTCTGTATTTCTTGTATCCATTCCAGTTTTATCTTGGAATATTTTAAGCGTCTTATCTTGTACCTGCAACTTGTATGTCTCGATTGTATCTTCAATTTTACCCTATTATGTGACTATTACATCGACATGTTTTGTCATCTCTTAGCTTGTACCTGCAACTTGTATGGCTCAGTAAGGGATGACTGCGAGCAAATGACGGGACGCTGCGTATGTAAACAAGGAATACATGGGATGAAATGTGATATATGTCCAGAAAAAACAGTTTTAACTCCTGATGGCTGTGTCGATGGTAATGAAATCGATATAAGCTTTCGCAATCACATAAAACGCATCCTTTTACCCTTTTTGTTTCTAATCAAGTTCTTCGCTTTTTCTCATTTAGAGTCTATAGCCCAGCCTATAAGTGGTTCCTGCGATGAACTCATGTGCTTCCATGGTGCTCAGTGCAGAGAGGTTATTGAAGGTCATGCTCAATGTATCTGTGACATTCAGTGCTCAGCAGAAGATAGTAAAGACCCCGTATGTGGATCCGACGGTAACACGTACGGATCTGAGTGTCAAATGAAACTGTTTAGTTGCAGATATCAGAAGACTATTACGATTGCTTTTCAAGAAGCTTGTGCAAAAGGTAAGAATAATAACTCAAAAATATCTGCCACCAAGAAAAAAAAACATTCAGTTTTTTTTAAAATTTGTTTTACATACAAGAGTTAATCTTTTGATTATACGGGCACATAAAAATTAAATTAAATACTGCTATTATTAGTAACTTTTGAAAACCATGCATTACAAATTAGTTCTTAACTAACTACGTGTTCTTAAACGCTTCCCTCATTATCCCGAGTTAACTCCGGTATGTATAGATTTTATTTCATCACCGTCGTTGAACAGCAGACCCAATTTCATGGGTTTACGACAACTAATGTTCAACTCCGTAGCCTTGTCATTTGGAACCCAATCCAGATGACGAGGGAACTCCTGGATCGAGCATTGGGAGAAATTTGTATAGATTGAAATTTGTATATATTGAATATTTGTATATATTGAATATAATATAATTGAATATATAAATATTTATTATCCCGAGTAAACTCGGGCATGGCAGAATTGTTCAAAACGTTCTGTTTTTATTCGGCCGGAAGCAAAAAAAAAAAATTAATAATAATCTGCTGTGATTGGAAGTTTGCCAATATTTGTTTGGGAGTTTTGCTATTTGTGGGACTGCAAATATCTTTTGTACAATTGTATAATACGATGGTGGATGAATTGACAGAGAAGAAAGAGTAAAAAAATGGTGCTGGTGAGCTAAAGTGAAAGTAATGCAGATGATTTTTCAGATGATGAAGATGTGAACCTATACACAGACTAATATTTAATTTTTTTCATTTGCCCGAGATAATTTGGGATAATAAATGGATGGCAAATTAAATATTTTTGACGCATGAAAGAAATTAAAATTTCAACTTATAACTTGTGTATTATGTTTTGCTTTAGTTCCTTGCATTCATAAATGAAATAAAAAATGAAATTTGCAATTTTTTTTCCCTCAAAAAAAATGGTAGGGGTAGCAGTTAAAAGCTTGCATTACATTAGCATCAATCAATGCTAAATATATTTTTTGTTTTTATTCGCAGAATTGCATAAAAGGAAGAAGAACTACAAATTGAAACGTTCTCTACCTGCAGCCAACTTTTCTGCCTTTAATCATTTGGAAAAAAGAACTTTTTATTTCAAGGAAAATATGACTGTGTCACATGAAGGTGAGGGTGTCATATCTCAAAATTCTTAAAGTAGTATATTATAAGCTAAATATCTAATGCATAACAAGTTATTATTTTAAACGCAGAAAGAAATCAATTACCTTTACACGATAGTGTAGTTTTTAATAATTTCTTCTTTATTGTTCAAACTGTTTATGGAACAGTACAAAATAAATAAATGCTAGTAAAACTTGAAAAAAAGGTGATAAACAATTTTTTAAGGAAAATTCCTTACTCAAAAAGAAGGATTTTATTTTATTTAATGTTTAACCGTAAATATTGATGCTTAAAGTTTTATAATAGAAAATCTCGATTGTTTCGTAATTAAATTTGCTTTTAAACGGTCTTAAAAGGGACAGCAAAACACTCAATTTCTTGTATTGGACGTGTTTACATGTTTGAAATCTTTAAGCCTCAAATATTTTATGAGATTAATACATATGGTAGTAGAAGAAAGAAATATTGTAATTATGACGAAGCGTAAGTAATTGCGTAAAACAAGTAATCGCGAGAAAGTGTAAACATGAAATTTAAAAGTATTGTAATAATGAAATTATTTCTTAAGCATATATGTTTTTTTTTATTTTAACGAGTTTTATACATAATTTATTTTCATATAATTTATTACATATATATTGTGATATAATTTCTTTTGTATATATTGCCATGCATTATATATATATTGTTTTGTCAAAAAAATTACCGGTGGGTGTTATGGTTGCATTACAGTTTTTGTTTTTTAAAAAAATAGCATATATAAAGGTTCATGATAAGATATACCAGTATGCATCACAAAAAGAACATTAAAAATCAATTCTATAGTTTGCAGATTGTTAAACATTTTTAAATTCCAAAGAAAATAACTCTCATTGCTATTCAATCAGTCTTTAGCTTTAAAATATCACTCTCCATATTCTTATTTTTAAAGTAAAAGCTCTCTGAACTTACTCTCTAATTAAAAGTTTTCTCGATTTCTAAAAAATAAAGACATATAGCCTGTGGAAAATTTTTTCTCGGTTTAAATTTTATTATGATTACAGGGTATGATCCATGTACATGGATCCATACCCTATCAGTGGCATGTTCCAAATCATACAATTAGTCTATATAAAAGGCCGAATGTTTCTCTAAGTACTATTTCACTTGGCCCTCTAGAAATTTTTTTTGCCGTGCTTTACCTTCACGGTGCTCTCCTATCAAGGAAAAGCTGCACATTCCTGACTAAATTAGTAAAACCAACGGCCGGTGAGCTTGGCTTGTATGCGCGTCACAATTTACAACAAGACCAAAATGGCTTTCTTTTTATAAACATTTTATAAACACATTTAAAAAAAATCTTTTTTTTTAATTTTTTAAAGTTTTTTTTCAAAAAAAAAAACAATGACCAAAAAAATCAAAAAAATTTTAAAATCTTTATTTTTTTTAAACTTCTAAAAAAAATTCTTTATTACATATTTTGTTTTGGAAAAAATAACTAGAACACATTATCGTAGCATTAATTTACTTTAATATAGTACATAGAAAGGATAAGATTTACCAAAATGAATCACACAAGGAACATTAAAAAAAATAATGTCACATTCTGCAGATCGTTAAACATTTTTCAAATCTCAAAGAAAATGGCACTCATTCCAATATATTCAACTAGTCTCTCATGAATAATGCTTCAAAAAATCACGCTCCATACCATTTAAATGAATAAAATTCTTTTAAACTTCTTTTCAAAGTAAACGCTCTCTGAACACATTCCGTAATAAATAGTTCCTCGCTACCTCTAAAAAAAATATAAAGACAGATGGTCCCAGGAGGAGTTTTCCTTTCTTTAAATTTTATTTTGATTTCAACGTACATGCAACATTCCCTGTCAGTGGCTTGTTCCCAATGATACAATTAGTCGATATTAGGGACTGAAAACTTTCACTTAAGTATTTTACAAGACTCTCCTTTTTTTTTTTATAAACATCTCCTCTTGTCTTTTTGGTAAAGAAAAATCAATGATAAGTGCAGAAAGAAGATACAGTGAACAGCATTAGTTCATGCTAAGAGGGTGCCAGTAAATTAAATTTAAAAGAAAAACTTGTTTTTAGATGTACTCTAGCCTTTCTTCATTACTTAACGTCTTCCAGTCACTAACAACTCACAGGTTTTTTTTTTCTTCCTTAACCTCTTTTGCTTATCCTACTTTGTTTTTTAAGATGAATTGGAGACTTTCTAAGGGAATTGGGTTCAGTTGCCTAGGTAACCAATGGCTGCAACAAAAGGAAGATAAACTCGCTAGCGCGATATGGGCCAAGGAAAAAAAAAAAGAGGTTTTATTTAAACCAAGATGTAATCCAACATCATTGCTACTTTTTAGAAAAACTTAAGGATAATTAATTTTTCAATTCAATAATTGTGTAAAGGAAGGGAGAAAAATTATTTTCTTTTAAACTCGTGTAACGGTCTTTATTTTCTTTAAAAGCAGGTGTTTGCCGTATGAGGATTTTTTTATTTTATTGTTTGCATAAAATAGAAAATTTGCTCATTATCTTGTTTAACCTAATCAATACGTTCATTGTTAATTTACTTCCTTCACGGTTTCAGTAACCTTTTAAGAAGAATAATACCGAAATAAATTTAAAAACGGAATCTGTGTTTAGAGATTTTGTTTTTTTTCTTAAACATACTAGGATTTCTCCACCCGCCTACTCCCATTATTGATTCTTATTAATCATTGTTTATTTCTTTTTAAACGTCAATATTTTCCACAAAACCCAAAGCATTTTAATTTCAAAACATGCAATTTTTTAGTAAGAAAATTTCTTAAAATGTTAATCTCATTAAAATATTAATAGGATTTGAAATATAGTCACCTGAACTTTTAAAAAAAAGTTTAACCTAAGGAATACAGAATGACTGACTCAGCACGTAGAACTAAATGAGTTTTATTCGTTGAAATAGTTTTGTTCGTTGATTAAACTTATAACAATTTGAATAGGGAATGGTTCTTGTCTGTATTTGTTTTCCATTTAATTTTACTAAAATGTTAAGACTTATATCTGGCAACTCGTAATCTCTATCGCTTTTCCTTTCTACTTTTGATTGACATTTCTCGAGCTCGAGATTATTGAATAGCAAAATGAAGATCTCATAAGGAAAAAATAAATTTTCTGCAACCATGGATAAATAGTCAATATTTAAAGCATATAAAGCATGAAAAATATCACACGAAAAGCACTTAAATTTTCTATAACTTTCGAAAAAACAGAAATTACAAAAAAGAAAAACTCTGGTTAAAATTATGTAACAAAATGTTCCTATTAGCATATTAAATTCAACGAACAGTAGATGGTCGAAATAGTTTTTTTTATAACTAATAGTTTAACAATTAAAGATTCTAGAACTAACAATCGAATCGAATTTTTTTCGATTCCATCAAATTCCTTGTACGATTTTCTTCGCACCTCTGCAAAGCAAAATGTAACGTTTTTCAAAAAAGGGATTAAAAAAATCGCAAAAAAGCACTAAAAATATTAATAAGTTTCAAACAAATTAGAACTTCGAAAAAAAAAGAAAACTCTACGATAAGTTCACAAACAAATGTGGCCATTTCAGCATGCCTAATTTTTTTCTGTAGTTGTCTTCCTGTGGTCTGTAGAGTAGCCCGAATGGTATTTTTTCCAATAAGTTTAACAATTAATAATTCTCGAAATAAGCATCGAATATTACTTTTTAATTCAATCGTAATTTCTGTACACTTTTTAAACAGGTTAATACTTTCAAATTTTTAAATCTTAGTTTTTGTGCAATAAAACGAAATGTTACGTTAAATTGAACATCCAAAACTTCAGCAGAAATGGTTAAAAATCAATACTGCGCTTAAAAATCAATCAAGTTATGTAATGATTTGCAGTAAATTGTGTTATCAGGTTTATAAAATTAAGATAGTCATTAAAGTTATAGATTAAGTTGGTTGGTTTAAATTACATATGCCGAAATAGTAAACTAACCAACGATCATTACATTTCTAACTGGTTATTATTAAGGCAAACACCATTTTTGGTAACTGTGTTAAAAATAGCAAATCATTACATAGTCCGGTAAATAATTCCCTTGTATTCTCAACAGTTATTTTTTTATATTGAAATACATTTCCCGGTATTCCCTACACTGACTTTTTTTACATTTCTTAAGGTCCATTCATTGTCCGTTATTCCTTACACTAACCGATTTTAGATGTAAAATTAGTAACCAATGCTTGCTCTGATTAATAGCGGTTGCCAATACGATTTTGATAATTTTATTTTTTTAATTTAAACCAAGTTATAACATAGAATTATTCCGACATTCGAGAAAAATTAAAGAAGGATCAATTTTTCAAATCAATAACTGTTTGAAAGCGAAAATTTTTTCTTTTATTTAAGCGCGTTTAAGCTTCTTTATTTCCCTCTAAAAACTGGGGTTTGCATGTTTTTACTTTATTTTATTAAATTAAAAACGAATTTACTCATTATTTAGATTTTCTTAAACAATATATTTATTATTAGTGTTTCAACCATTATGAATTAAATTCGTTCTTCGTCATATCTTTAAAAGAGGATGTTCTTAGATCATACATTTTCGCAATTTTAAAGTTTTCATTTTACTGTTATTTTCACTGCAAACAAGCGCAAAAATTAATATTTATATAGACTGGAATCACATTTTCTTACAAAATTTCGTGCTTTTGTAAAGAATAAAATTTTTCAATTTCGCCTGCGAATGTTGAAATTCTTCCATACCAGTGTATGAAAGAGCGCCATTCATGACTTAAAAATAGCAAAATAAAATGAAGAAATTTCGATCCACTTTATTTAGGATTTATGAAAATTTAAGTTTGTAATTTTAGAGTTATTGTAGTTTCAAACTACACTCACTTTTCAAAGTAAAATTTTTGAGAACATTGTTCAGTGGTTTTTTTTTCGCTTCCGTTTACCTATTACATAAATTCTTTTTTGCTATTCATAATTTTTCAATCATCC